GAGACCAAGAAAAAAAATTCAAACCTGTCGTAGGTTCACTTTTAACTCCTACTCTAACTACTTCTAGAAACAAAAACAGACGCTTGGGCTTATAAGTCGTGTGCTGATGTCCTAAAGAGAAGCAAACGATTTGTTCATAAATGTTGGCTCTTCCTGCAGCTAAACAAAGCTTATAAGCTAATCTTATATATATATATATATATATATCTTATATATAAAATTCTTCTGTAACAATGTAAGTTTCATATTTCCTCCTAAACTATAATTCGGATTTTCATGAATCTTCCTGAAGTTTGTTCGGGAAATTTTTTAGAATGTTTTGATTCATAGAAATATAGCTAAATTGTAGAAATAAATAGAAAAAAATACAAAAAAACGCTTATCATTGTTTGCCCTTGAAAATATTTGAAGCTTAGTTTGACATTAAAAACAATTGAGGACTGTCATTTGCCAAACATTTCTATTCACTTATAGGCTAAGGCGATATTAGAATATAATAAATTCATAATTATGAATAAGGAAAATGTAATGTCTACATTATTAATGCCGAAAAGCAGCTGAGATGCGCCAAAAATTAAATTAATATAAGATGCAAATAATATAACAAGCATTTGACAAGTGATGCAGTCTGCGCATGCGTCTGACGTGCGCGTGGTTTGCTTTTGCTTGCAATAATTTTGTTTGCGCACTTTGCGAACAGATTCGCCGTACGAATTCGCGCAAAGGAGCGAGCCATAAGTGATTGCGCTCAAACATATTCAATTTGCAGTCGTTTTGCCTTACTATACTAAGTCGCAATACAAAAAAAATTATTTAGAAGTTTCATTGTGTCAAAAATTCATATGTTTGTCATTGGGTACGGAATATTTACTCAATCGAGCGCTTGGGGTCTGAAATTTTTACTGTTTTCCAATTCGTTTGGAATTTTGGAACTAGGTTCATCTTACTCTTCAGAAGTGAAAACAATTTAGACTCCTTTACCACTTCTCGGGTGGATGACATTTCTTTTCAGTGGTGTAATTTTACTTTTTTCAAAATAACGTTGGGTATCGATAAAAGAACTAATTATACGAGAAAAATATTTAATAATGTTTTTCAAAAAGGAAATACTTTTCAAGTTACTGGCTACTGAATATTTGTTTCTTTTTTGCGTTTTTCATCATTTTTTGCTAACACCTTCAAAAATATACATCTTAACGAAAATCATGTAATGAACAGAATTATATCAATTAAAATCTTAATAAATCGTTATTTTATAGTGTTTTAGGAACATTATTAGGCTAGATATGAAAATGGGTTTTTATAGTGCTCAAAATAAGCTTTAAAATGAGTACTTCTGCGTGTAAAATGAGTGAGCTATCATGCAGATAAAGGACGCATGCAATGTTTTTTTTTTTCATTTAAATCAAATACTTTGAGTGCCATATCCACCAAAATTAAAAATAATCGTATTCAATCTAGAATTAACTTGGTTTAAGAGATCTTGATGGATTCTAGAAAATACCACAACTTTAGTACAAATGATTTTCAAAAAACTCATGATTTCATGAAAAAAAAACATTTAAAAAAAACAACCAATTTCTCATCATAATACCTCTGAAAGAATACGTATAAAAGTATATATATATATATATATATGAAAATTCGAGGTATTTTTCTGACTAATTATTATTGTTTATTATTATTTCGTTACCCAAATATTGATAGATGTATGATTAATTAAGGAGCTGTCCAACCAGAGGTCTTTCGAGCCTTTTAACCCTTCGCCGTTTTACAATAAGAGAAGTTACGGTAAAACTAATGATAGAGAAAGTTGTAGCTCATTTAATCACCTTTAAAATAGTGTATTACAAGTTCTGATAAAATCAGAATTAAAAGAGTAATAATCCAATTAATGCTGTGGATGGTGACGGAGTGCAAATTGTTAAAAACATTGAAATTAAGATAAAGATTAGCCTATTTCCAAAATATCAAGTAAATTGGAGCACAGTAAAAAAATTCACAGAGCAATAATTTTGTTGATTGTAAGTTGAATAGAGCACATGTGAACAGGATTTGACAAATTAATTCACTTCAAATATAAACTTAAGCAATAATGTATATTGATTTATTGGAGAAAAAAATGTAATTTAGATATTAAAATTACTAAAAGCCAGTTAAAATATGGTACGAAATTATAAAAATTATAGGCAACATTATTGAAGCATATATTTTGGGTAGAAAAATAAAAGGTGATATTGCACCTTTGCCGCGAATGCTATATATTAATTCTTTCTGAATTTGTTGTACTTTTTAAAAGATTTCAATTTTCAACACGTATATCTTATGCTATAACCATAAATCACAAAGGCAGACGATTATTTTTAGTGTGATAAATTTGGAAAATCAATGTTTTAGTCGTGAATAAACAAAAAATCATTCATTTATACATCCACATCTACAGGTATGACTAAAAATACTATATAACCCTTAAATGCAATAAAATAAATTGAGCTATTGGAAATAAATTTGTTCTATAAATCGCAGTGTATAATTTTTAATATACAATTTTATTGAACATTTTTTAATATTTGTTAAATGAATAATTAAAGTGTTAACTGTGGGAATTGAGAACAATCATTTTATTTGAAATAGTTCTACATTCAACATCACTCATATATTGGTGTAAATAGTAATTCAAAAAACAGTTATTATTATTTTTAACTAAGCAGTAAATATTAGTATAAAAAATTGAAAAATTGTAGACATGAGTACAGAACAACGTCTGTCGGGTCAGCTAGTATATATATATATATAAACTACTATATATGGTATATATACATACGACTAAATATGATTAACTAAAATACGACTCCATTGAAAATTAAAGTACGACTGCCTGAAAACTGCGTCATTGCAAGCTTTTTTATCAGCTCGCCTTCAAAGTCACTTTGCAATCCTAGATATCAATATTTTACGACTTGTTTAATATCATTACATAGTGCAACACAATGCTTTACTTAGTTGTTACTGCGTATTTTGTGTTTAGAAAGGAATTTTATCAACAACTGCTGGGCTTATTAAGGATATTTCTAGCTTATAATGTTGTACGCATGGTTCACTAAGAATCTACGTTGTTTGTATTCTGACCCATACAATTGCTTTATAATATTATTTATTATTATTACAAATGGGTGCATCTTTCCTACTTGTCCGTAATATATGGACAAAATTGTTATTGCAACTAATTGCATTCTTTCTTAATAACGATGTTATTACAGTTAAAATAAAAGGTAAAAGACGATGTTACTGATAGTCATTAAATCTTAGATGCGTAAAAACGAACGAGACTTATTATAACATCAATAATTACATAATATTATTCAAAAAAACAATACCACGGTTTTTTAACCGTATTTCCTCTGCATTAAAAATAATATTTGTGGTTGCCTCACAAATCAGTTATGATATGCAACTATAAATTAATATCTTTATGTATCTACTGTCGGTAATAAATATATTTTTTGCACTCAACAAACTAATAGGAACAAGCTATTTGGAATTACGCCAGTTAAGTTAAACAACCTGGAAGTACGCTCTTTTAACTATCAATTGAAACTTGTTGTTGTACCATAAACTCTTTATAGCTATTTGTAATTCGCTATTGTTGTTTTATGCATAATGCAAATTTAATGCGTGGATGCAGCACTGCCCTTGCGGTGTGTTCTCATTAGCCTTGAATCGTTCGCGTTGTAAAAAAATATGTTCTTACCGCCTCGGCTCATAAAACAGTTTGCCGCTGTTGTCGGGCAGTATTTTTCGTTTTGGTACATGTGTTGCGTATGTCAACCGCTCAGGGCTTTTGTCATGTTTGCCGAGAGGGGCACATTATCCGGTATTATGAATACCGATATATCACAAAGTGAATGAACAATGGTCGGAGATGCTCAGAAAGCGTACTTGGATTAAGCCATGTCACGCAGTCTCTCCTCCTTATTATAATTTAGTGAGCTTCTTTGTCGAATTACATGTTGCAATGACCCAAATCTCAGAAAATAAAATTTATATGAATTATAACTGAAGTTTTTCAGCGGCTACTGATTCACTTGATTCGATAATATAAAATTTAAAAATGTTGCTTGTAAAAGCTTGTAACATGATGCTCAATCAAGATAAATTGCATTTCTTTTCTTTTTACACATTAATTTAAAAAAAAAATGATAAGAATAGACACTGTTAAATAGACCGTAACATTTGGCGTTTTTATGGCAACGCAATGTTAAGGCTTTATCTTCATGTAAATTAATAGTAAAAACTGTCAAAATGCTATGTATCGGACATTTTAGATATGAAACCTCACTTAGAAAATGCTCAAACGTTAAAAAAATAATCATAACTGCATCTTTCTTATGCATTATGTAACACATACGTGAAGTTAGATTTCATATATAAAACGCCTGATCGCACAACAAATTTATAGCATTTTGACAGTTTTTACTACCAATTAGCATGCAGACAAAACCGTAACATATAACAACGCCATATAACGGCCTTTTTTTTAAGAAATTGACCTCCTAATCTATACTATATTAAACTGTTAAGATGTAAACCTGCCAGCCAGGTTAAAGTTTCTAGTCTGATGTTCTGGTATATAATGATTTGTTAAATTTAAAAATATGATCTAAAAATTCACAATATAAAAACAACGTATATAAACTATTCCATCTAGATAGTCAAACCTCAGGAATTTCTTCCAATCGGTATTTAAGCACACTCCTAATTAAAGAAAAATCTGCAATAAGCAGTTTTCTTTTAGATTGAAAAGATTGGAGAATTTGCTTAGTCTACAATAAAAATTTATAACATGCTCGTGTGTATATTGCATTTATATGTTTAAAATGAAATAATAGGGTAATCATAAATGATTTTAAAATAATTTTTCATTGTAAATGATTTGTTTTAATTTGTTGTTTGACTATGCCAAAAAATTAATATTAATAATATTATATTTCTATTTTCAGTGTAACAATTGCTTCAAGCCTTTGCTCCATCCTCATCAGCGCTTGAACTTCTTCAGCGACTACAGTCATACTCTGAACTGTCCCTTCTGCCATGTTCAGGACACACACTTCGTGAAGCCTTTGGCTTTCTGCTACACCAAACAGACGTTCCCGCTTTACCAACAGTGGCCATAACACGATGCCTCGCCGACGGCGGTCCATGTGTCCGCCTCGGCGACCGCCTCGACCGCCACTGAAAGCAATCGACTGTACGACCGCCAGCCACGAGCCATAAGACCACCAGCCCGACATTCACCTATACCATTGCTACCTACTACACCGCCATCTATGCAACAGATGTACAAAACATCACCAATCGGCACAAAGACATCACCAATAGGCACGTCCAAAATATCACCAATTGGAACCAAGACATCGCCGATAGGGTTTAAGACCTCGCCGATTGGATTTAAAACTTCTCCTATCGGCTGCAAGACTTCGCCAATAGGTTTTAAAACCTCGCCGATAGCGTTACGAACCTCTTCGCCAATAGATCTCCCGGCACCTCAGCCGAGAATGCAGCCTATTAAGGCGGTGCCCTTGCTTGGAGGAGTGCTTCCAGCAAAAGCGCGGATTACCACAGTTGCTGATAGTTGTGCACAATCCTGTTTGCAATTATTTTCCAATGAATTCATGGATTATCTCAATCAGATAAGTTAGATTGATAAGGTAGACGAATCATCAAACCAGTTATTAGGATGATAACATACAGTGAGTATTTTCATAGTCACCAAATTTGTGGGATCATGAACATGGTATTATTAGTGATCTCTTGTTTAGTTTTCGAATGAGATTTGTCTATTAAACAGTTAATGTATTGATAATGAGTGTAATTAAGTGATCTAAAACAATTAATTGCTACCTCAATGAACTCAAATAACATCAAGAAGATTTTTCCTCAAACGGCGATGGTTGTATATGGCGATGTACTATGTATTTATATGAATTTATTAATTAATTAATTAAAAAGCGGTGAACAAACGACGGACTGATATTCATTAGCGGCATGGCAGTGCGACAGCCACGATTGTTTTAAAATAATTCAAATTCTAGTGTTGATAAGTTTTGTTCTGTTGAAGTTTGTTTTCGTTCATATTTTTATCTTAGTGCACCAATTTATATTTAAATAACCTATTATATGAAATATTTTATGTTATTAGATAATTCTAGGTTTGAATTAATTACTGAATATTTTTGTTATAAGGACAACGTGAGCGTTTTCAAACTGAACCGTTATGTTGTTCTTCTTAGAATATATTAATTTTTAATAAGTTAGGTATCATACTAGAGGTTAATATGCAAAAGTTTTGAATAAGATTAAACCCTATCCGCGTTTTGATAATGAGAAGTACAGAAAGTCGAAGAAAAACTTGTGTTTTGAAAAAAAATTGAGACGGGCGTGTCGGCAGTTAGATGCTATGTGATTCGCGCAATTTTTTTACATAAATTCGTAGTATATAGATTCTATATATATAAATATATATTGAAACATATTTAGTCGTTAAGATTTTTTCTATTTCTAATATTAGGTACATGCGATTTAGTGATGTGTAAAAACAATAAATTTTCTAATGTGTTTTACTTTGTATAGGATTTATGAAAATTTATCTCCATTTGTTGTTGTCGGTATATTGAATGAATTTTTGATTAGATAGTTGATACTACTACACATTAAGGTAATAAAGCTAAGAATTTATGCTGTGTGCGACCAATAAGCAGGCTTGGAATTACATTATTCAGGTTGTTTTTATTGTGTGAATGGATTTTGTAGAGATGAAGTACAGAAATGTATAATTATAACGAGATATACGAATTGAATAAGAATAATTCATTTCGATGAAAGATGAACAATAACTTTTTCAAGGAAATTAGAAAACAATATATTTGACAAAAAACAGACGACAGTTTGATGGAGACGAGCGATGGCTTTTTTGCTTATTCATATACACATGCGTATAGAAATATATGTCTCATTAAATAAAAATCATAGGTGTATTTCGAAAATTTAGGAGTTCTATATTTATATAAGCATTTATATTGTAAAATTTCTAGGCGTTATAGGTTTCTAAAATTAAAATTTAATCATAAGAAAAAATAATATATCATTTTTATACGAGCTATGATAGTAGTTATTAATATACATCTATAAACTTTCTTCGTGTTTCGAATAATTTTAGTGATTTAATGAATATACACATAGTTGCCAATTAATAATGGTATACCGATCAAACTTTAAAAGAACTGCCTCCATCGTCATCGTTTTTTTGTAAAAATTAACATTTATAAAAAATCATCAAATCATCACGGGTATGATTGTGTGTGAATGGTCGTAAGATTGCCGGATATTTCTTTTGGTTTTTCTACTATATTACAAAAATTTCGTTTTTCTGTCTTAAAAATTTAACTTTGTTTACATAAAAGTTAATAATCGTGCATAGTTATAAATGTATTTTATGAATCACAGATATTGAAAATTAGTCATTCAGGGATTCAGAAATGCCTAGCAGAACGTGTTAGTTCAATTGACAACATCTAAATATGCCAAAAATCATTAAATTGAAAATACACTTTAAAAATGGCTAAAACTCTAAATTGAACTACAATTCTCTGTCGCTGAAAAAATTCAAAACGTTTTAACTATAACTATATATCACTTATAATAATATTGTGGAGATTGATCAACTTTATATAAGTTTTTTTTTCTAAAAAAATTAATTAAACATTTCACTTTCTCATTTTTGCTGTTTGAAATCTTCACAACTTTATTATTAAAAATTTGCCAATTAAATTTATAACACTAAAAAGTAGGAAAGGAATTGAACTATACTATGAATTACTACTTGACTTACATAATTTAATTTTCAAAATATTTCACTTAAAAAAATAAACGTTAAAAATTAAATTTTCATATAATTTTATCATAACCATTCAAATCACGTAAAGTAATTCATATTATATTTTGATTCAAATATAATACAAAGATAAATATAAAAAATTTATTAGTAATAATTATATAAAATAGAATTTAAATATATATTATAGAAATATCTTACGGAATTATATATCGCAAAAATAAGAATTTTCGTCATTTTTTATTTTTCTCTATTTTGTGCATTGTTGCTCTGGTTTACTTTGTAAGCATAATTTTTATAAGGGACAATTATATTCATTTAAAAAAAGTCTCATTAATTCCATTATTTTACATTATGTATTCAATTCGTTGTAATTTTTTATGTAAATTTAACAATTATATAAAAGTGTGTAATTACAGTAGGTATCATTTTTTATCAATATTTACAAAGTTTACAATCTTTTTTATGATAATGAGTAATTGAATAATTTGTTTGCTGCTATTTTTTTAAATTAATACTGATTTTTTCAGTGAAGTACTATAATTTTTATTTTTATTAAATTTATTTCATTAAATATATTATTTTTTCCTCTAATTATGCATACAAAGTCAACAGGTGCCAGGTATGCATGCATATAAAAAAAAGATAACAAAGAAAGTTATCTCACTTTCAGATCATCTGATGATGAATACGTACAAAAGAAATTTTTATCTTTGCGATGACTTTAAACTTATGATAAATTAAAATATAATATACTACATATATCTTCGTGTTATATTCCGTCTGCGGCCGTTTGTACCGTTAATTTTGAAAGTTAATAAATTATCCAGGAAAAAAAAACAGTTGATGAAGGCGACAAAGCGATTTTCTTACAATAATATTTTTGGTAATCAAATCTTTAAAAAATAAAATTCTAAAATAATATAGTTTTTCATCTATTTCCAACGGTGCAAACGGACAATGTCGGATGCTTGGTTATTGTGAATGTTATGTACTGCAAAATTATAATACTATTTGAAGCAAATGAATCTATATAAATAATCCTAGTGAATAAAATTTCTATAACCTAAAATACGTCCGTGAAAAATCTTTATGCCGATAATAAATGAAATTTTAAAAGACAGAACCGATTCAAATAAATAAAATATTAAGATTTACGAAATAACCATAAATTTACCTCGACACAACAAATTTTTATAAAAAAAATAAATACGTTCTGAGTGAGTATTATATAGCTATAGAAACAACATCTTCCAATATATTTGATATAAAGTAATATTGTATATTAATGCCCATAGATATAAAAGCCTTTCCCAAAACAATGAAATAGAACGAATGTCGTACAAAAATATTTGCCAATATTAGGTTTCAGTTCACGGTTTTCTTGGATAACCGAATCTTTTTGAAAAATATATTTAAATAGTGTATCGTTTACAAAAGTCAGTACATAACTGAACAAATATCACTTAACTGAATTGTAAGTTGTCGATGTTTTCTCTAATCATAATCGTTTTAGTATCTACGAACTAGTGCTTAACTTATCTATGTTCTGTTAGTTTTAAGAGTAATTAATATTTATTGAGAGTTGATTGATTTTTAGTGGAATTGAATGTACAATCTACATATCGCCATCTTAAACTAATCGTGTTAATAATTATCATAAATTTTATGCATTCCCCTTGAATGTGAAAAATCTTAGTCATTTCTGTTTCTCGTTGGAATAAGTCTTGAATATATTATTTCTGTAACAATAAGTAGACTACGATCGTTGTATCGGGGGAGGATGAATTTTGGGGAAAACTTAAATTTAACGACATGCCCAGAGTTATAGGATAGTATACTACGATTAAGGGGCCAATTTTTGGATAAAATAGAAATGATATTTTACGGGTCTCTAATCGTATGAGTTGGTAATCACGAACCATTTTTTTATATTATTCTATTTATTTATTGGCCTTGCTTACATGGAGCATTTAGCCACCATCAATGTTTAATTTTCATATTTTATACTATTTTTTAAATTCAACTTTTACTTATCTTTCTATGCAATTTTAAATTAACAATACGAATTCTAATCAATTTTAACTCATTTTTTATCTTATTTTTTTTAATCCTTATTTCTTCTGGATTCATCTCCTTTTTTCTCCTACTAATACAATTACGTTTTCTTGTAAATCCAGTTGAAACTTTTACTAGATTCTTTTTTTTTTCATACTTCTTTGATATTTACAAACTTTAATAATAATGTATTCAATTACAATTATATCATCATTATAAACTTGT